AAATAAAAATAAAACAGACAAGTAATTGTCATTCACGACTTGTGATTTGAATTGTATTTATCATTAATCTACGTTAACATTCCAAATTATATTTTGAAACAGCCACATTTGTCATTGAAAATTTAGATTTTCGATTTAAAAGCCATATTATAAGTTATAACATTATACGTAAGTATATTTTATTATTTTTTTTTTTTTTTTACAATATTACAAATTATAATAAACAATTTTATGGTGCTCACTGTTTTTTTTTGGTTATTGTAACTCACATTGTTTACATCATAAAACTATAATTCAAGAATATGTAATATTTGTATTGTACCTGTAAATTTTAGTTTGTATATTTTGAATATTTACCCATCTACCCAGTTGTATTAATTTGATTTAAATTAGAATTAACATTTTTTGACAAAGAAACTGATATTTGAAAATGGGAAAATAACACATTCTCCATAAGTCACAATACTACTATTATCGAAAAACTAAAATGCGCATACACTTACTTTGAAATATTATAAAGAAGTTTAATATCACAGTGGCCGATTCTAATCACAATTGTATAACAATAATCATCATAGCATTGTACATACAATGTGCAATATATACTATAAGTTATTCTTATTATAATATTATACATATTAGATTTTGAGTGGATCAATGAATGTATTGACTCAACAATGGTGTTTGTATTTTTCTGTCTGTAAAAATTTTTTTCTTGTAGAAATAATACTTTAATTTTTAACTTCAGCATTATTTCTGACGGGAAAGTGAATCTTTATGGTACTCTTAGGAGGTCAAATTGGTAAATCACAATAATTGTGAATAGTGTATTAACGTTTTAATACTATAATAATATAATTATTTATATTAAATCAACGTGGACGGCGTAATATAATTATATAAAGTTACCGTCAATGAACCCGTGTTGGTATAGGTACTCGCTGTAAAACAGCTGGTTGTGAGGGTCAACTAGGCCGTTGCCGATGACCAGCCCCTTGAGGTTTATCTTGATCTTGGCCCCATAGTTGTTCTGGTGAATGGCGTACGACACGGCCGGCACATAGTGGCCGGCGAAGGACTCACCAGTCACATAGAAATCGTTGTGCTGATACTCGGGGAATAGCTCAAAAAACTGCACCAGGGTGGCGTACAGGTTCTGGGCGACGTCCATCTCGTCGGAACTGTAACCGGAATCGTCACCAGTGTAGCTGAACCCTGTTCCCACCGGGTTGTCCACGTACAGCATCGAGTGCGTAGCAGTCCACGCGTGGTCACGCAACTTGAGCTCACCGCCACAGCCCTTGCACACCGAGAATGGGCCATTCAGGTTGAACACGCCGAGCAGGCTCGACGCGCCCGGGCCGCCCTGTAGCCACAACAGGACAGGAGCGTCCGATTTGCCGCTCGCGGCCGGGAAGAACCAGAAAAACATGTTGGAACCGTGCGCCTCATCCACGGTCAGGTAACCGGAGTAGCTCTCGATGGCCCCCTTCAGAGGCGTCACATTGCATGCAGCCCGAGCTTCGTCGATTCGTCCAGCCCGTATTAGGGGCGTCAGGAGTAGACCTCCGTCGACTACATCTACTGCCGAAGAACAACTGCAGACGAACGAGGACAGAAGCCACAGTAGCCACGCTGAAGCAATTTCAAGACGCATCGCTCGAAAAGGATTACTTACGTATATTGCGAAGTACTATAAATCAAGGGGCGGTAGTCTTACGTAAAACTTAACATTATTCAGGTACACGATGTATGCTGTGGATCACGGACAGTGACTACCTACGTTAGGTCTGATCTCAACACTGCGGTCGGTTTGTGTAATAATAAAATAAACAGACCATTCCAGTGGACTTTGGGTATATATTAATCACTAACAGGCATTTTGTTTATCTACAATATAAAAATATTTAGAGTGAGATGGGAAGATCACGAATACCGTTCGCATGTTAATATAGGTATTTACCTGAACACTTCGTTCTACTCATATCACCTTATCTAGTCCATAGGACTCTGTCACCACAAATGCATTATACCACATTATACATAAATTAATTATTACATAATTAGGTATATTATTTTTACCTGGTATGCGATTATATAATATAATGTATTAAATGCAGTAGGCATAATCTTCTATAAACATAATGTGAAGCGACTAAACATTGACTTGAGTGTAGGTATTCAAAAAAAAAACAATAAATTGAGTAGGTATTAAAAAAATAAAATAAATGTATTAAACAGGGAGGGAATAGGCAACTCATATGCTGTGTATCTTGTCATTGAAAATTAACTCACTGTTATGCGACATGTGTCTATTAAATTTGAATTTAATGATAAATCTGTGCACACTAAAAACGATTCTGAGCGAAGACAGTCTGTCAGCCTATATTATACTAACAATGTATTATTAATATGATATTTTTGTAATGCTATTAAAATAATTTATTTTACTATTAACTATTGCAATAAGTTGATTTAATTAAATTTTATTTAAATTCCGAGTATATTGCATTTATTAAATTATTAATAAAATAATATAAATATTTGCACTTGCCTATTATAATAATAAAAATATTGTTATTAACTTTTGAATCAATAACCGACTTTGGTACCGTAGAATGGTATAAATAGACGGTTAAATTATTAAATTAAACTTTTATCAAATTATTATAAATGTTTTGAAACAGGCATTATGTATATAAAATATAATATGTAAAATTCATAAAAGTTCAAATAGCTGTGAATAATAGTTTTAAACTACAAAAAATTAACTAAAAATAAAATTTTTTGTTTAAATATCTAATTAAATATTTCATCCAAATTTGAACTTAAGATATCTATACAAATTAATTGTATCTATAAATTATATAGATTGTTTACTATAGAAGTAATAACCACTTATAAACAACTTTGTATTAAGTTTAAAAGACTTAGCTAAAAGTTTGAACTTAAAATACTTATTACAATTTGCAATTAATTTGAAAATTTTCATGATTTCAAAGAATTTTATCAAAATATTTAAACTCACATTCCTATTTACAAAAAAAAATCATGCCTATGTATCTATAATATTTTGTAATAGCTATAACAACAACTAATAAGAAACCTTATACCTATTCAATCGTTCAAATTTCTTGACCAACCAAAAAATGTACTGGATGGGGCAGTGAACCGGTAGATTTTCGTATATAAATATATAGAATGATCGCTCATTTCACTGCCCCACCCTGTATTTACATTAAATGCATATAAACTTTGAATAATTTATAATTATTAATTCGGGGAAAAATTAAAACAATTTTTCTTATAAATAAAATGTATTAATTAATATATTAAAATATTAGTTGGTTGTTTCCATATAATATTACCTAGTCATTAAATATTTAAAGCCAGTCTTAAGTAAAGGCATTTTCCTATATAGGTACCTATATACTATTACATATTATACATTAGGTATACATTTTAACATAAAAACTATAATTATTATTAAACACATTAGCTGGAAAAAATACTGATGGATACAGGGTTCTGTTAAAAAAGTACAAAAAAGTCATTGATCAAAAACATTTTTTTTTAAAAATGAAGTACAATATAAATTAGAGCTATTATAATATCGCATCGACTTCTCGTGAAATATAATCATTTTCAAAAAATTTAAATATGCACATAATTTTATGGATTTACATATTATAATAAGATTACATAGGTACCTATACAACGTTTAATACATTTATTGAAGTAGATTCTTCATTTTAGAATAAAATATAACAAATAAAAAATATATTTTATATTTTTTTTAAACTGATTTCTCGCATAAAAGATTTTTCTTAAATGTTTCAGCCTGCAGGTTTTAAGGAAGAATAGTTACACATATGTTAACCCCATTTATAGATGATCAAACATAACTTAGATTATTATTTGGTAAGCAAGTTTTTTTACCGTGGAAAAAAAATAAGAAACCACATAACTTACTACTATATTACATACATAAATTCATGTTCGATATTCCACTTTTAAATGTGAAATAAAAATACTGAAGTGTCATATTATAATAATGAAACGCACTATAAATATCTTGGAGCTAAAATGTGTGATAAATAAATATTATATAACTCACACACTTCATTATACTACAATATAATATAATAATATACAATAAATGGAAATAGTAATACATAAATGTATACACTATACAAGTATGAAAAAATGTTAGTTCAATATATATATATAATAATATATAACATAATAATATAAAACAAATTTATTTGTCTATCATTTTATAAAGCTGTTTATTTGTTTAATGAAATTAACATGCAATCGACTGTGAGTAGGTAGGTAAAACATATAATAAAACTGCATCATTATGATGTCATTTCAAATTTTCATGGATGTGATGTGACTTACATATTATATTATATTTTATTTATACTTACAAAGATTTATATTTTATTGTATTATATATTCGGGAAACAGCGAATGAAGTTGCCCCACACCCACAAGTCCTGCATACTCTTTGTCGAAGTCCGAAACATTCACCGGCAATGCCTTAAAACAGTTCAAACCCTGGTTTAAACTACAGTCGAACCTAGTTAACTCAAAGTTGAAAGGACAGGCCAAAAATTTCGAGTTACTCAATAATTCGCGTTATCTAAGGATAATACAATTAAAGGAAATTCTAGAGACCGGGGCAAAAGTTCGACGATTTCGAGTTCAAGAAGTTCGAGTGTATAATATGTAATCGCGAACTATTGTGGGCGTCGATTACAACGTGTACACTGTACATTTTGCATCTATACGACCTGGATATACATACACTGTAGCACACCATAAATTAATTTACGAACAGGAAAACTGAGGTTCCAAAAATATTGGCAAAGACCTATAGGAAAACGGACTTTCGGTTAATATGACGGTTTGGAGGTAGGCAACTTCGATACTGCACCTATATTATGTTTCGCTTAATATTATGGGGCGACGATGCGGCGCGGCCAAGCGGCGTTTCAGTCAAATGGCTTGCCTGAAGTGAACCGGTTGATCATGTCGTGGGCCCAAGCCGGTTGGTCGTACGGCACCATGTGACCAGCGTTCCTGACCAGCAGCTCAGTAAGCGGCCCGTACGTAGTCGCGTAACCAGCCACCTTGGCGACAAGATACCAGGTGGTACGCGTCGCGTTCCCGAACCGCTCGGCGCCCGTCCACCGGAGTGCCCTGGCCACGTTCACCGTGCCCCGGTACGGCACGATTGCGTCCAACTGTCCGGAGTAGAGGAGCACGCGGTACCGGCCGTCTTCCAGAAGTTCTGCGAGCCACGGGGCCACGGACATCGGTATGTCGTACTTCATCCGCTCGTAAACTGTGTCCACCGACGACCACTGGCGTCGGCCCACGTGCAGCGCGGCCCGCGCCACCGGGCCCTGCACGTACCGGTCCCAGTTTCCGCCCTCGAACGGTATCGGGTTCCTGTTCCACACCACGTTGTAGATGTTCTGCATGTCAGTCAGCTCGCTGTACAGCGACGGCGTGGTGATCATCATCCTGGTCATGGCGGCGTACGCGGCCCTGTAGTCCTGGTTGGCGATCCGGTCTCGGGCCAAGTCCTCCTGGACTTTGAACAAACGTTTGCCGTCCTCTGCAATGGTATAAAAAAATATGCACGTGAAAACGAAATTAATAATCAAAAACGATTTAAATGTGTTTGAATAAGTTTAATACATAATAATATATAGTAATATGATAGGTACCTAGTTTATTACTTTATGATATAATACGGTGAACACAGTTATCAGAACTACTATATTATGTCTATAATGTTGAATAAAAATATTTCTCCTCCTAAAAAGTTTTAAAAAACTGTCATTCAATACCAACTTTATTTATATGGTACACATATATTTCTTTATGTGTCTAATGTCTATGATTTACATTATTCTAATAATTACATCAATAAAATATATGAACCATACGTTTATACTCAAAAGTCAAAACTATATCATAATGAAAATATTGCCAAGTATAAATTTTACTTGTATAAATAAATAAATTACAAATAAATGTCTATTGATCACAAGTTTGACGAGTGATGGAATGTGGGATTTTGGAAATAAGCCAATGGCAATGGGCGAATACATCTGAAAATGTGTAATCAAATCAGCTGGCACAAAATTAATTTTTAAGCAAAAGACGCACTCATTATATTTCAAAATATTTAATAACAGTTTTATTTTACGAGTGTTTTAATAATAATATAATAGTATCCAAATTTTCTCTCTATGAGTCATGCATATCGAATTTGTTTTATTACAATTTTTTTTTTTTTTTATTAATAAAAGCCTCGGCATCTAGGGCCATTGGCTACTACAAATTTATGGGGTTACATTGGAAGGTAGTTACTTAATATTAATACACATGTTATTTTACAGTAGGTTGATTAAATTAGAATTGATTATAAATGATATCGTGTTCTGGATGTTGGCTGGCTGAAGGGCTTCGGCGAGAATGTATGAAACTCCTGCTTCCCGTTTTTCTCTCTCAAATTGGCGGCATTCAGATATAATATGCTTGATTGTGAGCTGGGTGCCGCAGCTTGTACACATGGGGGGGTCTTCCTTCCTCATCAGATGCTGGTGGGTTAGCGCTGTGTGTCCGATTCGCATTCTGTTGATTGCCGTCTCTATTTTCCTGGATGTGTTCGATGGAGAGGGCCATGTTAGGGTGGTGTGTTTGATCTCGTTTAGTTTTGTAGAACCTAGTCTCCAAGTCCGGAGCCATAAGTTGTTTGTGATTGTTTTAGATAGAGATTTAGCGTCGTGTAGAGTAAAGGCATTAAGTTTTATAGCGTCCGGGGATGTTATTGCTTGGCGAGCGTTTTCATCGGCTCTCTCGTTTCCCGTGATTTGACTATGACTGGGTATCCATATCAAGATTATGGAGTATCCGGAACTTGTGAGGTTATGCAGTTGATTCTGAATTTTTCTGGCGATTTCGTTTGGAGTGAAGGGGTTTTCTATGCTCCTTAAAGAGCTTAGCGAGTCGCTTAGAATAGCTGCTTTGAGTATGCGTCTTGTTTTGATGAGGTCTAGGGCGTAAGAAATTGCCGTTGCCTCCGCTGAGTATATTGAGCAGAAATTAGGGAGTCTCAGCATTGATACGTGGTCTTTAACTACTACTGCAGCTCCAACACCGATATCCGTTTTGGAGCCGTCGGTGAATATTTCAGTGTGGTCGCAGAGATCGGAGGTGATTGATTGTAGATGTTGGTTAAAAACTATGGGTGAGGTATCATTCTTAACTAGTTCGCTAAGTTCACTGTTTACATGGTTGTTGAATAGCCAGGGGGCCGTCAGAGGGGTTTCATTTTTAATAACATCTAGGTGCGGGAAATGGGTATCATTTAGGGAGTCCGTGATTTGTTTCGCTACTTTGAGATTGTTTTGGGTGCGTCTGATTGCAAGCAACATGGTGCTGTGTACCCTCCTGATGTCGAGTGGTTATTACAATTTGTTCTATTTATAGGTACTACTTTGTACATTACTTTTTTTTTTTAATATAATATTACTTTATTAGGCACACCTTTTATGAATCTAAACATGGTACTAAGTTATCAAATATTCTTAATTTATTTAAATGACAACTATTTTATAATAATAATATTGTCAACCATATTATGTCAATTATGTAGTGTAATGGAATTTCGTTATAAATGCACAAGTTATCAACACTATTCTTGTGTATCCTGTAAAGAATTTAAAAAAATTTAATATTTATCACAATCATTTGATATGCGACTATCTCTCACTTCCAAGATACTAAATTCCTCAACAGTTTAAATACTTTGAACAACTACGCGTGGGCGCGTAGGTCCAATGTTACGTCGATAGGTATTTTTATTAAACGACCCTGCGCACTGTTATATTTATCATTGGATTGTAAAATATGAAATTCTTATGTACAGTAATAGTATAATTAGTGTGAAGTTAATAGTTGTTAAAATGCATGTTGTTATTATAAACTCTATTATTATGACTCATCGGTGATCGCATACCAAAAACGATTCTAAGCGATAATAATTATTAGTTTATGAGAAAATTAGGTACCTAACTATATTTTCTGCGTCACAATATTGAATAGTTCCCTATTAAGAACAAATCCTAAACATATAATTGTAGTTGCATAATTTATTTTAAATTATTAATAATTTATTTTAAATTATGCCTTATATATTCTCACTGTTTGAAAACCATATTAATTAAGGACGATTTATTTTATTTTGTTCGAAAAGTATATTAGAATATGGATTTCCGCAACTGTTTTAAAACAAAAACTATAAAAAAAAAAATTGTAGGTAGTCTTTAAAATGTCGTAAACGATACTTAATCATTCATTATATTATAATTTAACGCATTCTATACCTTCTACTCGACGACAGTGTTTTAAGTAAAATTGAGGTTTACATAAAAAACAAATTTAAAATTGTAAATCTAAACGTCTCATTGACTATATGTATATAGTATATTATTATATACTCCTTTTTATGTTTCTGCGTTTGGACTCTATAAATATTTAGACGACATTTTAGTTTATGAGTGGGTGGCGCTGAACCGTTGGGATACCAAGAAAATTCACATTAGTATCATCAATGTTTCATTAGTATACTTATTATTTTTATAAAAATATGTATTCACACATAAATATTTTGTATTTTAATATTACGCCATATTACAAAGCGTGCATGCGATAAATTGCTTACATTAGGTGTTTCAAAATTGATTTTAGGTTTCTGTTCGATGATTAATGGTAAATAAAATAACCCCTCTTGGCCTCGTCGACAATTACTATTTAAATTTTATTCTAGCCAATTTATAATGGCGGTACGCTGGTTGATAACAGTATAGTGTTACGTACGTTCAATGTTAAGGTGAGTACGCGACTATCTTTAATATTTGTTATAAGTGTTATAACTTATAAGAATTATAAACTATATCCAGTATACCTATAACTACTACAGTATACAACCGAAATTGTAGGTACTTAACTACTACGTAATACCGAAATGCCGAAATAACAATAAAATGTCGAAAAATCGATTTAAGTCAATTAGTGTAGTTTTCGAACCCTGTATACCTACTAAATTTAAAATTAAATTTAAGACATATCGTATTTATTGTACCATATCAATACTGCCTAATACTTTGGAAGAAGTAAATAAGTAATACCTATTATCTAGTAGGTGTTCTTTCTGTAGTTATGACTTATGGATAGGTTATTGATAATAGCTGTTATTACACTAGAACCACTACAAAAACTGCATATCTTAAAAGGAGTTCTTAGAAAAAAAATGAATATTGCCCTCAGATTATCAGATGAATATTAGTATACTTAGGATTTTAGTTATTAGGGTTGAAGAAATGAAAAAGACCAGTCAAAGTGCTTTTAAATTTCAAGGACCGAAATGCTTCCCCGGTCCGCCTCTAGACATAACTCATATAATATTATACATTATTAAGGTAATAGTGGCATAGATATGGTACCGTCAATGAGCCCGTTCTGGTACAAAAATTCGCTGTATACCATCTGGTTTATGGGGTCGATGAGCCCGTTTCCGATGGCCAACCCCTTGAGATTGATCTTGACCTGGGCTCCTGGGTTGTTCTGATGGATGGCGTACGACACGGCAGGCACGTACTTGCCGGCATACGACTCGCCGGCCGCGTAGAACTCGTTTTGCCGGTACTCCGGGTACAGCGTGAAGAACTGCACCAAGGCGGCGTAAAGGTTCCGGGCGACGTCCGTCTGGTTGGAGCTGTAACCTGCATCGTCGGCTGTGAAGCTGTACCCTACGCCCACCGGATTATCCACGTACAGCACCGAGTGTGTGGACGTCCACGCGTGCCGGCGCGTCTGTAGAACGCCTGCCGCGTCCACCGTGAACGGGCCGTGCTCGTTGAACACCGAAAACAAGCTGGACGCGCCCGGGCCACCCTGCAGCCACAGCACGACGGGCGCGCCGCTGGACCCGTTCGTGGCGGGGAAGAACCAGAAGAACAAGTTGGATAGGAGCGCCTCGTCCACGGTCAGGTAACCGGCGCAACTGTCCACCGCCGCCGCCGTGCTGTTGTCCAGGCGCACTTTGCACGCAGCCCGCGCCTCGTCGATCCGGCCGTCGCGTATCATGGGCGACAGGTACAGAGCCCCGTCGTCTTTGACGTTGGTTCGCGCCGAACAGCTGCAGCAGTAAAGGGCGGCGAAAAACGCGACGACGAACTTCGAGGTGGAGGACCGCCACCGAATTCGGAGTTCGCGACGCATGACGACGGACTACTATATTATTATATTATACACTGGCGCGGCGAGCCCGGTATAAAACCTGCGGTAGTATACGTGACCGCGCGTATTCGTCGTCGGTATCGGTCTGTTGTACCTATAATATTATGAGATTATTATTAAGTATTATAACGATGATATTGTTACCGCGTGGAATGATCGTTATTCCGCTCGCTGGTCACTGCGCAGGTTACGTTGAGTTCGCGTGTCATGTTAATATTAATGATAATAATAACAGAACAACAATAAACGCATAGCGATATATCGAGAACAGGGTGTCCGACTGGCGACTGGTTTATACATTATGCGTTACGCATGTCTGCTGGTTAGGCGAGCGGGAGCGTTGTACCGACTACTGGTGTGTGATATATATTGTCATATTTTATTTTATTAAATGTGCGCTCGATGGGAATCGTTAGCGTAGCGTCGACGATTTCGAACGATAACATATTATATTATGAGAATGTCAGTGATGAAATCGCCCTCCCTCCACCCGTTCGAATCGAGCTTTTTGCCCGTGACGTATATTGCGCCGACGTTCTCGAATAATTTATATTGGGCCGCATATTAATTTGTTATACGCCGTACATAATATTTTTGTGTGTAGTATAGTCTTGTGCGTACTTGTGATGCAGATACTATTAAATATGTGTATCATAATTTTTTATTTTTTACTGTACTTTTAATATGTATAGGTATGTATACAAACGAACATTGAAGATAGAGCTTCACACGTCCCCACAGCCGTGAATATTACCTCGTCTTCCGTTTTATAACGTATATGAGAACCCTAGATACGAACATTTATATTGTAAAAATCGGAGTTTAAAGGAATATTATTATTACGATTTATCTATATATATATAAAAATAAGTGTACATTTTGAATAGATCTTATAGCTCAAGATCCACCGAACCGATTTTGATAAAAATTTCAGGGCATATTAAGATTTATATGTAGATAGTTTCTGTGAAGTTTGTACGCTGTGCGATAAATGGTTCCGGAGTTATGGCCTCATAAGTGCACACCTGGCGACATGACCAAAAACAACAACAAAATGTATGAAAAATGAAAAAAACGTCTGTTGACATGACAACAACAATTCTATTTTCTAGATAAATATTAATTGGTTTGAGATTAAACGAGATTGATTTTTATTCAATTTCAATTGTATGGATATGTAGTTTCTGTGAAGTTTGTACAATGTACGATGAGTGGTTGTGGTCTCTTAAGTGCACAACTTTTGACATGGCCAAAAAATAAATAAAAATAATAATGTATTATATTTTGGTTGCTATTGGTTAATCGGGCATGTTTGTTGATTTGTATTATTATTTTTCGTCAATATATACATATATAATATATAATTGAATGTTTATGTGTAGATTAGACCTTTGGGTAGAAGATTGGCTAATTTAAAAAATTAAGTTTTTCTTATTCATCATTATTACGGTTATGTTAGGATTTTATATAATCGATTATATTAATCCACCATAGATAGAATACGACAAACTTGGTATAACTTTAATACTTTAGAGTTAAATCATACACTTACGTACACACAGCACGGGGTCCGCGATCTACCGCAGGTAGATTGCCTACCTGATAATGTACTGCAGTGAAACAGAATTTTTATTCCGGGCAACGGAAAAGTTAAGATTAATTTTGAAACCATACACTAAATATTAAATAACAAATTGAACAAAGTTTGAGTCACATAGACTAGAGTTGGTACACTTAATGGGCAACGAAGTGCACGGGTTCAGCTAGTTGATTTATAAATTGATGTTTATTACCTATAATGTTTATTTATTTATATATTTCATTTATTCCATTTACAACAATTGAACAATGTATAGTGTTAAGGTGAAACAGGCATATGATGAGAAAAAAAAAAGTTTACAAAATATTAAATATAATTATGTAATTGAAAGACAATTCAGTTTGATAACCCTTATGTTATATTAATATTTATTATTAAAACAAACACAATTATAATATTTAACTGCATTTACAGTGAACATTAAAATGCTAATATAAATAAAATATTGTAACTTATATTAATACACGCAGAGAGAGAGGGAAAAACATTATATTGAACATTTTAAAATAATTACTCATTAAATGCAACCTTAATATCACTTATATTGCAAAAAAACTAATATAGTTTTACTGAATTAATATTGGACATTAATGAATGTACAATGTAAGTACTTACTGAGGAGAAAAAATAATAGTTAGTTCTTAGTATCTACGTATATTTTGTAATGCATGTTGTAATGCACTTTTATATAAATTTTAAAATAATTACTAGCATATCTATACGATAGTTATTATATCGTATAATATTTAAGTTAGCATGAAATAATTATAAATTATATTAAAAACTGTATGGTCCATTTTGTTTTACAATCCTAGGAATTTGATAGAACAGATATTAACAGAAAAATTGTACATTTATAATGATAATTATGTTGATTACAATACTGTTATTTAAAAATATTTACGTAGGTACCTACTTATATCCTTTTTTCAACATAACAGCTGTTGTACGCGTGTGCAGCCTGCCCTATACGCAGAAAGTAGATTATAATAAAATCACATCAGTCTTTCAACATAAAATAACTTATCTGACTTAAATTAATTTTAACTATTAAAATTATAAAAAAAATAATAATTTGTATTCATAAAAATAAAAATAAAAATAAAATATATAGGTATACAATTTATATATTTGAATAAAAAATTAATTGTCATATACTTATAAAGCATCAACAATTGCATGTATACTTTATATACAAACTAGGTACATTTGTACCACGTAACATTTCATAAAATATTTCAAAAAAATAAATTTCATGAAATTTCAGAAACCTAATTTTTACTAAGTAAAATTGATCCAGTCGTAAATTATGAAGTTTTTTTAAATATTTTATGAGAATTTTTTAACTAGGAACATTTCTGAAATTTTAAAAAATCATAGTGAATAAACCACTTGACTTGAATAATTAATATTTGTACAGTAAAAAGTTTTCTAAATACCAGATTTCAAATTGGCTATTTTTAAATTTAATTAACATTTTTATTTTTTATTTTAAGTATTCAAAAATCAAAATAAATATTTTTTAATATACGTATGTACTTAGTGAGTTTCATTGATGGATGGTTTCTCACATCTCGTGTTTCATGTAAATATATATGTTAATCTCCTCTTTTTTAGATGTATTAATGGATAATATGTATAATATATATTATGTAATTTCACTCTCTACCACATTTACTCATTGTGCCTCTTAGGTATAGATTGTATAATTCAAATAAAGACAAAAAATATATCTATACGTGTACTACATGAGGCAATAAATTATATAGAAAAATAAAGAAACTCGATCGTGATTCGTACAAATATACTCGAAAACATATTATTCTGTTTGTTAAAATATTAGGTATGTTCCTTATATAATTTTGGGAGAAATTTTAACTTCATATCTGAGTTCACCGAAATTGGGTGAGATTTAAAATAAATGAGAATTTTGTGCATTGACTGAAATTTTAAGATGCTGCTGTCCAACTGGACTATGATTTGCTCAAAAGGCATGTCAGTTCACATCACAACCTTACAAAAAAGTCTTTCCGTGAATACCTTCATTATCCGTATCTTGGAATGTTTCAAGTGAGTTTATAATTCACGTTACATTTCAATATTGTATTTCCATCTTTCCTTTCATTATAGATCTAAGGATCTAGTTTTCATTTCGTCCTCATAAAACCCCCAGGCCCCAAGTATTAAGAATTTCATTATTATTATTATTATTATTATTATTTATTTATTATAAATTATAAAAAGTTCAATTTACAAGCTGTTCTACTAAAAACAAAAGATAAAGCGATTGCATGTCAAGATTTAAAAGCAAGTACATCATTTCGATTAAACTCTACTGTGCAAATAAAGTATACCTATATGACTATTTTAAAATAATTTTAATATTTTTTAACACAGTGACGTAAATTTTAATAAGAAACCTGAAGGTTTGTGTATGCACTCAGATCTAAAAATAATATTTTAACTAAAAGGCAAGTACAAAGTGAGGTACAAAAAGTTTTCTTTTTAAAGCTGAGTATTTAATATTGCAATAAAATAATGGTAAATACGCTTTTAGAATTTTTAGATTATTACTTATTGTAATTTTGATATTAAAATGTCTTATTTGATTTTCCTTTATAAAATATCAAGAATATATATGAAAAGAAGAAAATATAAATAACTCCGAAGATCTGAAGCTTTATAATTTTATTCTATGTGCAAACAATACTTTACGTATTGCATTTACTGTTTTTGACGTTTCAATATTTATCATATTATTTTTTAGTAAAACTTAATAATACTGTAAAGGAGTATAAATTCATTAATACACATCATATATAATTTGAATATATTATATAAAAACGTAATGTATATATATATAAATGTACTGTATAATATAATACATTTAGAACTACAATTTTCAATTATAATTTAAAAGTACATTTATATATATATATATATATTATGTTTTTATACATACATCATTTATCGTACATCGCTTTCAACATATAAAAGGTGTGATTGCATTAAAAAAATCGATTCTTAGCATACGCGAACTAAATTAAAATATATTGTAAACGGGTAAGAGCTATTTTATAAGTAGAAGTACATAAAATCTCAACTTAAGAGGACGCCACACCCGCATGTGTTGTCTCCGTCTTACAAATGTACAACATAGCAAAAACTCTTTTGCGAGGGACAACTTTTCTCGCACCATATTTGTTGTAGAACTACCAAATTTTCACAGCACTTAAAGAAGAACTTTATCTGTGCAACAGCGTGCTCTTTTTTCAATAGCACCATCCAATCATTTTTTATAAGCAAATTAAAAAACCAAATGTTTAGAAGCAAATAACTTGTATTGTATATATGTTATTGAAAAAAAAGCACGCTGATGCAC